TTCTGTACAGCCACTTCAGCCACAACTAATCCCTTCGTCATGGGCTCGTGGGGCCGATTTCGTCAATAGGCGCCATGGGAATTCCATCAGTGGTTATTATATAACGACGGTCCAGCCTCGAAGGGAGGGAGGAGAGAGGGGTCAAGGGGAGCAGGGCGAGTGCTGGTGAGGGGCATGTATGTATCGCTCGGCGCGACGCATAGCGAAGGTTTCCGAGAAATCCTCGCGACTCATCCCGCCTGCTCGCGGCGCTCTGCCCCGCATCTCCAGTCTCGGGTTCCCCTCGGCCGGGAACAAGACAAAGACGCGGGAACAGCATCGCGCTCACGTCACGTCCACCAGTAACCAAGGAGGCCGTGGCACTTTCCTAGCAGCGCCAGCCATGGATAGCCGTCTGCCGAATCGTGGAACCCTGGAGCCAACGGGGCCATGGGGGCATTCGTCGGGTCTGCCCGGCGCCTCGCAACAACTTGATGCCGCATGATGTTCCGTCTCGTCAATCGTTCCCGCTCGTCACTCGTGCTGTATTTCCGTCTGGGGTCTCATGGTGGAAAGGTATACTTCGACCAGTCCGTCTCCTTCTCTGCCTTCTCGTCTCGTCCCGACTGTCCCTTCTCTCCACACTCAATCCCGTCAAAAACACCACTGATCCTCGCCTTCCTCTCCTCGTCCGAAGCAGCTCTTTTCCGTCATCTGCCCCTCTCTCCCTTCGCTGATCTGCAGCACATTGCCCCTCCATTGCCGCATCGTGAACCCTTCGCCCCACCAGGTGACCCAGATCACGCCCAGCTTTCGCCGGCAGCTATTCGCATTGCATTGCCTTTGTCCCCAACGTTTTTTGCAGAGTCCATCCTCCTCGGCCCCTCGCCATACAATCATCCACAATGTCGGCGTACACAACCAACACTGGTGGCGGAGAGACGGAGAAGATCAACACCAACATCGTCACCCTCACCCGGTTCCTCACGGAAGAGCAGGCAAAACACACGGAGGCCACCGGAGATTTCACGTAAGCACCAATTCGTCTCCTACGATCTTCTGCAGCCTTCTAACGTTCGTTCCAGCCTTCTCTGCCACGCCCTGCAATTTTCCTTCAAGTCCATCGCGTACTACATTCGCCGCGCCACCCTCGTCAACCTGACCGGCCTGGCTGGATCCTCCAACACAACAGGCGATGACCAGAAGAAGCTGGATGTCATCTCCAATGACCTCTTCATCGAGGCCATGAGGTCCTCGGGCAAGTGCGCCCTGCTCGTGTCCGAGGAAGAGGAGGAAGTCATCTTCTTCCGAGATGCCACTGGTGCCCGCTACGCAGTGGCCTGTGATCCCATTGACGGCAGCTCCAACCTGGATGCTGGTGTGTCTGTTGGCACCATCTTTGCCATCCACAAGCTGCCTGATGGTTCCTCCGGAACCAAGGAGGACATTCTCAAGCCCGGCACCGAGCTGCTGGCCGCCGGTTTCACAATGTACGGCGCCTCGGCCCAACTGGTCATCACCATGAAGGGAGGCAGCGTTAACGGTTTCACCCTCGACAACGGTGTCGGCGAGTTCATCTTGACCCACCCCGACATGCGCCTGCCCAAGTCCCGTGCGATCTATTCCGTCAACGAGGGTAACTCGCTCTACTGGGAGGACAAGACGAAGAATTACTTCAACTCGCTCAAGGAGCTGCAGGACAATGGCAAGCCCTACAGCGCCAGGTACATCGGCAGCATGGTCGCTGACGCGTACCGTACCCTGCTGTACGGCGGTGTCTTTGCTTACCCCGCCGACAAGAAGAGCCCCAAAGGCAAGCTCCGCATCCTCTACGAGTGCGCACCCATGGCGCTGATCTTTGAGAACGGTATGTCTACTCTTCCCGTGCTACACTGTTGACGGAGCGCATGCTGATTAGACTGTGCGCAGCCGGTGGCCAAGCCGTCGACAGCAACATGACCCGCCTGCTGGAGCTCGTGCCGGAGCACATTCACGACAGGGCGGGTATCTTCATGGGTAGTTATGACGAGGTTGAGAAGATCAAGGCATTCCACAGCTAAGTGTAGCGGATCAAGGAGACAACGGAAATGACATGGTGTTTTACTCGGATAGAATGAATTGGATTCCTCCACTTGCCATATGCCTTTTGCCTGCCGCGGCGCCATGCAGCTTCAGAATAGCTTGGGGATCAGCTTTGGCGTGTTCTCCTTCCACGCTTGGTAGTCCTTCCTGTGACCATATCGCTCGTTGTACTTCTTCTCGCTCAGAGGCACGCCGGATATCTTCAGCAGTAGGAAGCTGACGAATGCCGGGCTGATGTAGGACATGCCCATGGCGAGCGCGGGCCCTGCAATGCCGAGGGGCAGACCCAGCCCCGCCCGAATCGGTCGCGCTGCGAGGACGCCGAAAGCTGCGGTTGCAATGCCTGTCCACAGCGAGATTTCTCCGAAGTAGTTAGGGAATTGACTACAGTGCATGTGTCAACGTTTGGCTGTAGCTTAGGCAGCTTTGCCACTTCTTCTGCAGGAGAGTGGCTTACCTGCGACTCCACAACCCACGGGTGAGGAACTCCTCATCGTGAACCTTGGCCTTCTTCTCCGCCGCCCACTTGCTCTTCTGCCTGTCTGCGATAATCTCATAGGCGAAACCGCCAGCGTATACAAGAAGCCCGAGAACATCCGTGGCTTGGATGGCCGGGATGGAGGCGAAGGCAGCAGCTGGAACAGCGTTCAATGTGATGACGGGGAGGAGACAGAGCGAAACCCAGGTCGCCTGAGCTGTGAATGCCACGGCGAACTTGGCAGGACTGCGTTTGATTTCGTCGAAACGCGAATCCTGGCCGTCGGACAAGACGCGCTGGAAGAGGTAGGACCCCACTAGTTTTGTCAGTTCTTGGTGTCTCTTGGGGGTTATAGATTGAGCGGCAATACATACGTCTCAAGGCCCAGAAGACTACGGCACCCGAAAGCACGACTTGGCGCCAGTTCAACGCCCCAAGGCCCCCGGGGGAGGTGAATGGGGCCAGCAGGCTTGGGAGGCCCGGTTGAGCCGAGGAAACATTGTTGACGCGCAACGAAGGGAGGTAAAGGCTGAGAGCCGTCACAGAGAGGAACGTCAACGACCCAGAAAAGTCGTAGAAGCGCTCACTTTGACAGATGATGGAAGGAACGGCGAAGGCTGCTTGAATGGCGAAGGCTGTCGATATCGAAGGTACCAAAGTCCGCAAAAGGGGGTTGCGGAAGTTTGACATTCGCAGAAGGAATTGGAACAGAGGCATTGCGTGAAGTCACTCTGTGGATGAATATGTCTGGTGAATGATGATGCTTTCGCGAGGTTCTGAACCGACAGACCATACGCGTGACGGTCACAGAGGGACGCTCTCTGAAATATATGACGACATGACTTAAAGTTGTAGCTGGTGTTTTGTATGGAGCTCGGAGCTATGACCGAAACCGGGGTCAATGCCCCTCGTCCTTCGGTTGCCAAAGGCCCAACATGGAACAATAGAGATGATCGAGCAGGTGCAGGCCTGGCCGCGCCTCGCAATCGAAGCATTGCTAATTGTCTACTAAGACATATCAAAAGTCGCTATTTCCAACTGACCTCGGATTTGTGTCTTTCGAGAGCAAGTTGGGTCTCTGTAGAGATGTAGAGAGCGGGGCACTGCCCCGCACTTGTCACGAATAAACCCCTCCATCTCATCTCCTACATAATTTGGACTCATCCTGCTCCGATTGCGCTACGTCGCTTTCGAACAAACACAGGACGGACACCATATCACAACGCCCCGTGGTACCTTCAGAAGAAATGTCAGCTGCCAACCAGCAAGTTTTTATAGCCATAATCGGTAAATACCCGGACTCCATGCAATGATATTTGCCGTACTACTCTCGACGCTGCTTCGATCGCTAACGAACTTTGGCTTTGTCAAGGCGCCGGCGGTGTTGGCAAAAGCTTTCTCTCCCAGCTTACAACACTGGCAGCTCGCAGGCCCTCGCCTAAGCTGAGCCTGTGCTTCATCTCTACCAGCAAGAAGTCTCTCTACAACAGCGATTACGCACCGATCGACGCCGAGAAGGCCCTCGATGTCCTGGCTACTTTCACCCAGGCTGCGCCCTCTGTCGCACAATTGACCGAGTATCTGGCCTCGGCTCCCGCCAAAGTCGTCCTTGTAGACAACACGAGCTCCGAAGACATTGCCAATGCCTACCCCGGCTTCTTAAGCCGTGGCATCAACATCGTCACGCCCAACAAGAAAGCCTTTTCAGGCTCTTATACGCTGTGGGAGAGCATTTTCTCCTCTGCTGCGAAAGGTGGCGCCAACGTCTTCCACGAGTCGTCTGTTGGAGCTGGACTTCCCGTTATTTCCACTCTGAAAGAGCTGGTGGAGACGGGGGATCGCGTCACCAAGATTGAAGGTGTTTTTAGCGGCACCATGTCTTTCCTCTTCAACAGCTTTGCTCCAACCTCGGGCGCCGGCGGCAAGTGGTCCGCTGAGGTGAAGAAGGCTAAAGAACTTGGCTACACCGAGCCCGATCCGCGCGACGATCTGAATGGCCTGGATGTCGCTCGCAAGTTGACCATCCTGGCCAGATTGGCTGGACTACCCGTAGAGTCCCCTACGTCGTTTCCCGTCCAGAGCCTGATCCCTAAGGAGCTCGAAAGCTGCACCAGCGGCGATGAGTTTATGGAAAAACTCCCTAGCTTTGACTCCGAGATGGAACAGACCAAGCTTTCTGCTGAGAAGGAGGGCAAGGTTGTGAGGTTTGTCGGCAGCATTGATGTCCCCTCTAAGCAGGTCAAGGTTGGCTTGGAACAATTCGATGCCACGCATCCTATTGCGGCGCTCAAGGGCAGTGACAACATCATCAGCTTTTATACCGAGAGATATGGTAGCAACCCACTCATCATCCAAGGTGCTGGGGCGGGAGGCGAGGTAACAGCTATGGGAGTGACTGGCGATTTGCTCAAGGTCTTGGCTCGTATCTCGTAAGTGGACCGCATGATCCAGGCATGTGCTTGAGGGAGGGAATAAATGAAAGCCACACGTTGGTCTAGATGTCTTTGCCAGCACAGGATCGGCCGCCCCCCTGACAAATGCCTCGCGTTCTCCGATCCTTCATCTAGCCCAACCGCACAACCAGTTTTTCCAAGAAGCCTCGCGGTGACCATCCTGTGTATGTTTGCCTCTATCTTGAACCTTGTCCAAGTCGGGCACCTCCACTGATGCTATCGACGACGAAAGGGACAACGACCCGGACGAGGATCGCGTGCTGAATGCTGCAACGTGGTTGATAGCCAGTTCGAAGTCTCCCTGCTGCTCACCGAAGAAGCTATTTGATCACGTCAACAATTGCGCAACCAACTCGATGAAAGAGGCGGCCGTCAAACCTTCGCATCATAAAACTGATTCTCTGCACATGGGCGAGATCCAGCGGGGCCGTGTCAGGTTTCGGCTTCCCTCGATATGTCGGTTTGAAATCGGCCCATTTGATAAACAACTCACCAGAGTCAGGATGCACAAAATCAAACTCCCAGCTAACTGTACTCTGCTCGCGTCCATCAGGTCGTCGTGGCAATATCTCGTCCTTCAGCGTCAGGGTGTATTTCTTGCCGTCACTGTGATTAATGCTAATGCTGAGCCCTTCATAACTACTCAAATCCAGGTCGAGGGACCCGACAGTCCGTTGCGAGGCGAACCCAGCGCCTCCAAGCGCCGTGATGTCGAGATGACCATGGAACTCTGCTGGCCCAACATTCTGGCATCGCAGATAAGACTGACTGCGGCCCCCTCGTACGCGGTCGTCAGAAGCGGTCCAAGCGCTGGACTTCCACGACCTGGGATTTGGTTCGCTGGTCAGAAGAGGTTGTTGTCAGGATTGGTGCTATGGGTACGGTCTTACTGATCACCTCCAAACAGAAACGATACGTGTCGGTCGGCCATTGTATGCAAAATTGTCGAGCTTGTAGTGTTTGGGGTGTCAGCCACTGGTGTATCGGCGTCATCGTTAACTTTTCCTACGGACACATGGAAACTGATAAGCCATCGCTCACAGTGCTAGGTTCCATGCCGTTCTGATAATACTGTAGTCGCCAACTAAATCGACTCGAGGTCTACTGCAGCAGCGCTATATTGGCATTCTTCGAACACTTGTGTTATCAGCACCAATTAGTGATGATATGCACGCAAGATTGGTATGGAATTGGGGATTTTCTTTCAGTCTTCTTTCAGCTGCTGTGTTTAGAAATATGCTGGTCCTGCCAACTCCCTCATGCAATTGATTGTGTGTTCTCCCGAGTTGTTATCCGTGGCCGTTAGTCGAGCGCTTCGACTAATAACGCCTGCCCCAACATTCGCCAAATTGAAAGAAAATCATAAGTGAAACTAC